GAGAGGTCACGGAAACCTTTCCAATGCAAGTTAAATATGAATATAATAATTAGATATTACATATAATTTGGTAGAAAAACTGTGTTTTTACGTTTTATTGGTGCAAAGACGAGTAGTGGTGATATTTATTTTGTACAACATTTGCAACTGCTTTTTTATCACTTAATTAGAAGCACCACAAATGAAAATTGTCATGTTATAGGGACTACTGAACAGACATTTAGAAGTTGATTTTAAAATGCAAAGTATTTAAAATTAAAATTAAGCTATGTAAACACTTGCATTTTTACAACACTACAAGTGTGTCCCATCAGGTAATGAAAAGTTGTACACAAACTTGTGGTCCACATGCTCACTTGAACACTTACAGGCCAAATACAGGAAATAGGTCATATAAGTGTTCAAGTGGTCATGTGCAAAGACCGCAAGTGTGGGTATTTGGACAAGGCAGGCATCGGGGCGTAACATTTCCGTCACACGCTTGAGGTATTCGGCCAATCACAACGCACTGGATAGCTGGCCAATCACAGCACACCTCGCTTTTCAGACCGATGAGCTTTGTAAAAAAATCTACGCGTTTCAGAAAGGCGGCGCATAGAGGAGAAACAATAATGCACATTATATGGGAAAAATGTGTTTTTTGAACCTTAAACCGCATAAACACATTGCAATACACCAAATAACAAAATAATGTTATTTTTAGCAACATCATATGACCCCTTTAAATATACATGTGGCCTTTAAGTCCATGCAAGATCTGATTCTGATGTAGTTTTCACCTTTGTGAAAGGCTGGTTCCAATACCGCGTGGTACAGAACTTCCTCCAAGAAACACAGGACAACATCTGTTTGAGGAAATAGGTGAACGTCAATCAGTAACAGCACACCTTGAGTCTTGAATCTAGTTGTTCCATGTTTGAAAGGCTCTTACTTCTTGGACATTGTCTGAGAACATGCATCACTTGTGGAAGTCTTTGCTGCAATGGATTCCTGTTAGTACATGAGAGATTTTACAGATGCTTGAGACGCACTGCAAACAACAACTAGCAATATTAAACTGGAAAAAGTATGTTTACTTTGTTGACTGATCATAACAAGGTTGTGTCGTGTTATTTGGCTTACGTGAGTGCTGATGGGCTGATAATCATCATCCAGTATTTCCTGCGGCATAGCGTCAATATCATTGTCATGTCGAGAAACCGTACAAATAAGTCGAAACCTTATAGTTTTGTCTTGGAAGAATCTGGTTTTGTTCAGGTCTTGGAGATCATGTATACATTATCGCCATGTGAGGCTGTTTTGTTAGCCTCGTGGTAAACCTTTTTAGCATTTCAGTCAGGCTGGTAACACATTATTTGCATCAAAAGTGTGCGGCTATGACTGTATACGCAAAAGGTTTGGTTTAATATTATCTGCAGTAGTTTGTAGCTACGTTAGCTCGGGTGCTAATCTCGATAGGCTACTTAACGTTACCTGGACTGTTTCTTGTCCTCGGGGTTCGCACATTTTTGGTCCGTTTGTTTTAAAGCATAAGTTGATTGTTTGGACGCAGACGTGCTGCAACAAAACTTTGATTCGACTTCATCAAGTAAATCATCCAGATCATCGCCATGATTATCCGGTGGAGAACGCCACGTTTGTTACCATAGAAACGCGTGGAGCGTTTCTTTGCTTTCCTTTCAGAAATGCAGAAATTTTCCGTAGTATAACTAGTCAAATTCTACAAAATTAACTTTACTGCTAAACATAATATTTCCGTGCTCTGGAAGCTGACCTAACGCTTCTGGTTTGCTGGTTGGTGTAAGTTTAGTTTTAGAACGGAAAACGATTCGTTGTCGGCAGGATTCGAACCTGCGCGGGGAGACCCCAATGGATTTCTAGTCCATCGCCTTAACCACTCGGCCACGACAACTCGCATACTTACATCCTTCAGAGGTTAAGCACACTTGTCGCATACTTGTGTCTTTTAGAGGCCGAGCACTTTTTTTCAACATTAAAAAGTAGTAGTAAAAGAACAGAAAAGAATAAATATATAGAGTGTATAAATATAACCGGCTAATGTAATTCGGCTAATTATGCACGGTCAATTATGCAGATGCGCAGAAAAAATAAGCACACTACATTTATCTTTTGAGATGGCTAGTATGGTAGTATTAGTATTAAAACGACATTTCTAAATATTCCAACGTGCTTTCTTGTGGCGGAATAGGGGTGACAATTTTAAATGTGCATTTCAAATGATGTATTCGTTTGCTATTTTATTGTTTTACGTTTAACCTGACTTAAATAGTTTTAAATATGTGTACTTACAGTGGGTACGGAAAGTATTCAGACCCCCTTACATTTTCACTCTTTGTTATATTGCAGCCATTTGCTAAAATCATTTAAGTTAATTTTTTTCCCTCATTTTTTTCCTCATGTTCCTCACACACAGCACCCCATATTGACAGAAAAACACCAGAATTGTTGACATTTTTGCAGATTTATTAAAAAAGAAAAACTAAAATATCACTTTTTCCTCATGTTCCTCACACACAGCACCTGGGTATTGACAGAAAAACACAGAATTGTTGACATTTTTGCAGATTTATTAAAAAAGAAAAACTAAAATATCACATGGTCCTAAGTATTCAGACCCTTCTTGCAACATGTGATCAGCAGTACCTTATAAATCTGTTCCAGGGCTTTCTGCATCTTGTCAGGATGAATTGCAGACAGAACAAATATCAATGTGGCTACATCCACTGTCTCCACTTGTATGGTGGCCTGGAGATCATCTTTAGTGAGGTCACACTGAAACGCAAGGCATCGCTCGGTGCAATACAAGGCATTTTGCTGCAATCATAATGAATAATCATAAATAAAGGCAGAATGCATGTAAACAATTAGCTTATAAATGTGCAACGTTATAAAATTGGAAAAAGGTTGACCAGATGTGGGTGAGAAAAAACACAACTTGGTTACTTTTACCTTCACAAACTCAACAGCTCGTGGAGAGAAGTCACAAGCATAAATGAAGATACTGAGATCCTCTTCCAGAAGAGGGAAAATACAGTTTCCAACCCCACAGCCAGCCTCCAATAACACCAGCTTCTGCCCCTGAGACTGAGAGAGTAGATGTAAGTTACAATCATCTACACAAACTCAAACATGTTATAGCAAATGCATGCATATCTCTCTGACCTCTCTGCAGTTTTTCAGTTCTTCAAACTCTCTGGTAGTCCAGTGCCTGTCTTTGAAAAAGTTCGTCGTGTTTCTTTTATAAAACAAGTCCCAGTTTTTCTGAGCATCCATTTCGAGTTTCTGCTGCTTAAAGTCCGAGACTAAGACGCGGTCACTCCTGAGTTTCTCCAGCTCTTCTGAAGTCAGGGTCCTTCCACTCAGACCACTGGACTGATGAGAAGCAGGACTGGATTCCAGCGAGTCCAACTCACCTGTCACTGACATGACTGTCTGTGCTCCCGATCTTTCCGATTAAAACTAAAACAACGACAAGACGATGTGAAGTTTTACGATAGTAAAAGACACAGCACTTTATGTTGAATAAAATGTTACACGTAACTAACCACCTCAATGACAAAACGCAAACAACAGCAGTTTCAGGTACACACGTGTACTTAATCTACCTGTATATTAAGCGTGGTAAATGATTAAGAGTAAAATATTCGCATATTTAATAAGAAACTGATTGATCTAAAACGCAGCATGTCGTCGTTCTACTCGGCATCTGTCTTACTCGCGCAAAAGCTATTGCGGTGATATAGGAACAAAACATCAGTCACTGCCACCTACTGGACTGGATGAGACGCGCACAGCGGCCTGCTTAACCTTACAGGTGCATCTCAATAAATTAGAATGTCGTGGAAAAGCTAATTTATTTCAGTAATTCAACTCAAATTGTGAAACTCTTGTATTAAATAAATTCAATGCACACAGACTGAAGTAGTTTAAGTCTTTGGTTCTTTTAATTGGGATGATTTTGGCTCACATTTCACAAAAACCCACCAATTCACTATCTCAACAAATTAGAATACTTCATAAGACCAATAAATAAAACATTTTTAGTGAATTGTTGGCCTTCTGGAAAGTATGTTCATTTACTGTACATGTACTCAATACTTGGTTGGGCCTCCTTTTGCATGAATTACTGCATCAGTGCGGCGTGGCATGGAGACAATCAGCCCGTGGCACTGCTGAGGTGGTATGGAAGCCCAGGTTGCTTTGATAGCGGCCTTCAGCTCATCTGCATTGTTGGGTCTGGTGTCTCTCATCTTCCTCTTGACAATACCCCATAGATTCTCTATGGGGTTCAGGTCTGGTGAGTTTGCTGGCCAGTCAAGCACACCAACACCATGGTCATTTAACCAACTTTTGGTGCTTTTGGCAGTGTGGGCAGGTGCCAAATCCTGCTGAAAAATGAAATCAGCATCTTCAAAAAGCTGGTCAGCAGAAGGAAGCATGAAGTGCTCTAAAATGTCCTGGTAGATGGCTGCGTTGACTGTGGACTTAAGAAAACGCAGTGGACCAACACCAGCAGATGACATGGCAGCCCAAATCATCACAGACTGTGGAAACGTCACACTGGACTTCAAGCAACATGGTTTCTGTGCCTCTCCAATCTTCCTCCAGACTCTGGGACCTTGATTTCCAAATGAAATGCAAAATTTACTTTCATCTGAAAAGAGGACTTTGGACCACTGGGCAACAGTCCAGCTCTTCTTCTCCTTAGCCCAGGTAAGACGCATCTGACGTTGGCTGTGGTTCAGGAGTGGCTTAACAAGAGGAATACGACAACTGTAGCCAAATTCCTTGACACGACTGTGTGTGGTGGCTCTTGATGCCTTGACCCCAGCCTCAGTCCATTCCTTGTGAAGTT